CACATTATATCGCCTCTCATAACGACTGTTGAATGAGATCTTGTACAATATTCGTGTCTACCCAGTCATCTCATTGTGCAGCATCCGAAGGCAAGATCGTCCTATTGCTCTACTATAGCGGTGGATTCGCTCAACGCAGTGAGATTAGAGGGTAAGTGGTAATCCATAAAGATGTCATGACAACCCAGACGCAGAAGTCATTTTCTGCCATATCTAACCTTTGACTGCCTCGAAAGGATAACCCTGCACTCCTGTCGCAATGTCTTAAACAAAGCAGAAAAGTAGCATCAAAGCCAACAACCAGTAATAAAAACCGTGAACAATGGCCATTTCAACCCATGACTAATCAATTCAAAGGATATTCATGAACGAAACGCCAAGCTCCATGGTATTCCGAAACCTCAAAACAGAAGCAAACGAAGAGAAAAGAGAGAGAGGTGGGGGATGTACATGTTAAAAGAATCATCGTCGATCATTGTTTCCACTTGCTTAACTGATTCATAATGTTTTGAACGTGAGGATTCATAGTCGCCAAGTTCTGCTGCTGTGGTTGCTGTTGTCCACCCAGGCCCTTGGCAAGCAATGAGATCAGATTGGGATCCGGAACCACCGGAGCATTGGTGACTGGGACCGAATACTGCGGAGGCAGGTGTTGTTGAGGGTTCGTAGGAATAGGTGGCCGCGTTGCTCCGCTCAAAAGGCTTGCGAGATCTGCAGTGGTATGGGGCATGTTGGTAGCAGTAAAGGGCTGTGCAGCGGGAACGGGTTGTTGCTGTCGCTGCTGCAGTGCACTCAAAAGAGACTGAAGGGTAGGCCCATCAAGAGATGAAATCATATTCGCGACATTGGAAGAAGTAGGAACCGCCGGCAATGGTGCCTGAGGAATGGGCGCTGTGGGAAGTGTCGGCATGGCGAACGCTAGGTTGGGTGGGAAAGGAAGTGAAGTAGCACCGCGCTGCATGGCTTGGGCATGAAAGACGATCTCGGCGGCAATGTTGGGCTCGACTTCTGGATATTCTGTACAAAATACATAAGTATAAGACGTGGCGTGCACGGAGATGACTGGCAACAAGGTTACTGACCATTGAAGCGAACATTGTCTGACCCACCACTGCGATCAAAGACCTGCAAAGGTATCTTCCTTGAGAATTGGTTCGGACGAGACAGTCTCACAACAGCAAGAACCCCTTCTTTAATCTGCCGCTGAACTGCCGCGTTCAGTGGTATGCGAGGACCTAACACCAGGACATCGACCCGAAGACCTCGATTGCGGAAGGCATTCTCCACGTGGAAGATGAAGTTACTGAAAAGAAACATCAGATTTGCACCATCGACAAAGGCGTCAGCTACACAATATAACCTACCGGTCAACTTCTTCAAGAACCAAAATCTGCACTTCCGGGGCATCTCTCGGGGCTCTCCTTGGAACTGGCAAGTCCGAATCACTGTCGTATGCGTTGCGGCCCCTGGGGCTAGGAGTCCGATACCGTCTATCTCTCGTATATGGTGACCGAGAACGGCGTCTCTCACGTCGATCGTACCGTTCAGGAGTTCTATCCCGAGATCTGTACCCATCTCTTCCTCGCAACGGACGTGGAGATGGGGATCGTGGAGGGGGTCGATAATCGTCGCGTCTGCGGTGACTCGGCTCATCTCTAAAGTCACTAAACGGGACTCTACCTGACTCGTAAGGTCGATCATAGCGATCTCCCGAAGCCCTCGGATTACGGCTGCTGGGAGGACCGCCTCTGCTGTATTCCGGGGACCTGGACCGTAGGGGTGGAGGACCACGAGATGGCTCAGGTGGCGGTGGTCCTGCCCGAGTATTCCTCTGCGGTTTTGAAATCTCCAGGTCTGCATAAGGCAGAGTCAATCCAGGTTCAAATATTAGCGGGGACTGCAGTGCCAACTTACGGATTTTCCTACCCCTTATCACAGCTCCTTGTTCACAATCGAGCGCATGCTTGCAGGCGGAGGCGTCGACGAATTGGATGAAACCGTACGCTTGCTTGATCGATATCTGGGCCAGTTTGCCATATTGGTGAAAGATATGAAACAGATCTCGTTTTGTGACCCTCTCCGTCGGTAAATTACCTGGATTGCCGGCAAGGATTAGATAAGGGTCAGACACCAAAGGTTTAAGTAGAAGTGACAGAATACTGACCCACGAACAACCGGGACCCCGCTGGGAAGCGATCCCAAAGTCCCTCCGTTACGTACACTCTCTCATCATGCAGGAATTGGTCATATTTTTTCTGTACGTCTGGACCCCACGGAACATCTTCGTCTCCGGGTTTGACGACACGACCGACCGGCTTCTCGACACGACCATTCGGAGAAGCTGCTGTTGCAGGGGGGTCCTGAGACGATTCTGCGGTAGAGGGGGCCGGTTGCTGGAAGCTGGGACCAGGTGGTGGAGGCAAAGAGCTGGCGCCCGAGGCGGTTCCGGGAGCGCCAGAAGCAGCCAAGGAAGGAAGCCCTAAGTTGGATTGATAATTACTTTGCTGGGAAGGGTAGGTAGTGGATGTGCTGGCAGGGTGAGGGTGGAGTTGATGATACGAACGGATATCATCGGTGGGATGGTAATTAGGATGGATAGATGGCTTCTCCTGGGGCGGGGGGCGAGGGGGAAGGCCTTGAGGAGTTTCAGAGACGTCGTCCGCAGACGAAGGGGCAGTCTCCGAGGGCAGGGGGGGAGATGGAGCGGCAGTAGAGGGAGGAGGAAGATTATCGAGGAGGGTTTGGAAGTCCACACCACCCTCACCAGTATTATCTTCGGGTTTGGCTTGGGAATCTAAGCGATCATGCGGTGCCGACTGCGCGGTCCAGCTGGCGACGGCGTGATTTACCTCGTTCGCGACGGGCAGGATCTGGGCAGCCTGAGAGGAGGCAGAGGGAGGGACATCGGGGTTAGGGTGAGCTAAAGGGGCAGCAGAATCTGAGGAAGGAAGAACAGTTAGAGATGAGTTCGTTGCTATGGCCGGCGCAGTAGAGGAATCCTCGTCTGCTACTGCAGACTGATCTGATGGAAGGGAAGGCTTAGCAGTTGCTGTCCCCGCAGAAAGTGAAGTCTCATTTTTCTTGTCCACTGATGGATCATCCGCCTGCAAAGAACCAGTGTGAAAGCTACCTTGTGTTTGTGCCGACGGTGGTGGTTGATGGTATTGTTGATAGTGATGATGGTCCAGCGCCTGATACCTCGTCACGTTCCCCGAATCTGCATAGTGTCCATTGTGATGGTGCATCTGGGAACCATTTTCAAGGGTTGACAAGGGCGTGCCAAAATAAGTCGACGTATCATTGAACACTGGGTCCATTTGGTTCTGCAGCACAGGGATCTTGGTCGGTTCCGCGACGTGTAGCGGACGAGGGCTCTCTGGAGTCAGAGTTTTGCCTCGAAAGTGAAGAGCTTCATCTGGAGAACCCGGCGTCATGTAGACAACAGACAGGGTGGATCACTTTCATCTACAAATACCGCAAGAGACTGCAAAGGGCCACAAGCGATGAGAGGGGGAAAGATTTCGCAGTCGAAGTAGCTAGAGTGGGGCTATCTTCGCAAAAGGCACCGGGCCTTCCTTCTGCTTTTCTTTTTTTTCTTCTTATCCCAGGGCGGTAAGGCGGAAGCGCGGAGAGGAGTAGAACCAAAGGGTCCAAACTCAGTTGGAGTCGGGGATTTTCTTGCAGGAGAAAAAAGAGATCGTAGAGAGAGCGGGATATTATTGAGTAGAAAATGAATTAAAAATGGAGATGAGTTGTGGGTTGATTCCGCTTGACGGAGAAGTCGGGGGTGACGGAAGCAAATGAGGTGATAACAGGGGATTTTGAAAGAGATGACTTGATCAACAGCACGACGTCGGTCGACAAAGTTCTCCAACGAGCCGGCTACTCCAACACCTGGAGACAACAGTAAGGAGAGAATATTATGATTATCGGTCAAGTTAGCGAGGATGTTGACTAGAATAATTATTAAAGGTAATCTGCACGGAGGTCTCGTGGTTTGGAGTATCTACCATTATTATCCTGGCACCCATCGTCAAATGAGGAATAGCAGGTACGATATAACTTCTGTGCATCTTGATAGTCCACGGTAGTCTAGTCTATCACCGAAAGGCGAGTGTGCATGATTGCTGTGAGCCAATGTGGGATCCTCGGACCCTCATGCTAAGCTCTGACTGGACGGGTCCTTATTCTAGTGTTAAACCAAGAACCATCTGGATCTGCTGGAAGCATTATTGCTGAAACAGGGAGCTATCCATAAGGTTCTTAAGGTACCCCATCTAGTCCAACTACCTAGCGCCATGTCCTACCTATTTTTCCTGGCTTGATACCAATCCTTCGGCCAATTAGTCACAAATACAACTAGCTTGCTACTTAAACCTGTCATCTCGATGCTTTCCAAGGGTCCAGAACCATCCATCACGGAGTATTCCCGCTCTTCTCCTGGGTTCTCCCTTCATGTGAGTTGAGGATGGTTAGGAAGGGAAACACTTGTTCTGTTGACTCGAAAGCTACTGCTATGGCGTTTCGATAGCTTCAGAGAACCAAACACTTATTTGACATTCTTATCTGAGCTACTAGACCTAGATAGTGGTACTAGTTAGAAACATATAGACTAGTGCGTGCTTTTCTCTTAAGATGGACTCTCTCAATTCTATCCCGACAATAGTCTAAAAATTCCTCAGCATAGAACGAGTCCCCGACAGACGACTTTCTTATTACCGGCCGAAGATCTATCTGTCTCAGAAGTCATTTGATATCAAGAACTGCCATGGTTTCACTCTCCGCCTTTTATTCGATGTCTTTCTACTCCGTAGTCTACTTTGCTTTACCTTAATCTACGATTTACTCGAAATACTACTACACAAGTCACAAGTATAACTACTGAATTACACTGCACAACGTGCCTACCTTACCAACCTTACCCACCGGACAAAGACTAGAACCCCTGGTCAAAGAAAAAAGGAGGGAAAAAAAAAAGAAAATTCTAACTGTCACGAGATATGCGAACCCGACTCCTTCAATTTTTCAGCAAAGCCCCCGCCGGTCCCACCATAGCAAGAACCTTTGCTTCTAGACGAGCAGCCTCGAACAACGGACGCGATACCAACCATACCAACCATACCACCGCCGAACCGGACGAAAAGGACCTCACCGCAGCCCGGGAGTGGCTTAACAGGTTCAATTCAAAGACAGTCACAATCCCTCGTGACATCTGCGAGATTTCCTTTAGCCGGTCCGGCGGTCCTGGCGGTCAGAATGTCAACAAGTCCGTTCCTCTCCCTGTAGCTTTATCCTGCACTAAGATCATTCATTGATCAAGCCTCATTTGACTGGCTGAGACCACGTCAGAGCGCTCGGAACGTACGCCTCAGTAGACTAACATCTCATCGCATTTTCCCAATAGGGTAAACTCAAAAGCCACATTGAAAGTACCCCTCCAGTCTCTCCTGCCTCTGGTGCCGCGGATCCTACATCCTCATCTCCGGTCATCCCGTTACTACGCCGACAGAACACAGACGCTGGTTATCCAGTCTGAAGAGTCGCGGAAACAGGCCGCTAACGTGGAGTCCTGCTATGAGAAACTCCATCATTTGTTGAAAACGACTGCAGAAGATGTGATTCCTGGAGAAACATCTGAAAAGCAACGGGAAAAAGTACAAAAATTGTAGGATGCCCTACCTTGTCATGTGCATTATCTACAGGATATTAAACAGTTCTCACAATTGCAACAGGAAAAAGGCTGAAAACGAGGCCAGAATCAAGGCAAAGAAACTGCACAGCAGCAAGAAGAGTAACAGGCGGGGTAATAAGTATGATGACTGATAGGAAGCTAACTTTTAAACACCTTGAAAGAGAACAAGCTTCGTCTTTCTTTGTTTATGGACCCTAAACAACTCTGAGGAACGCCTGCGATAAAGAACTGAAGATGCAACGTCTACTCCTGCTGAAGGACCCACTGGGCATTGTGGATGGTGGCAGCAATGACCTTTTGCAAAGCAGGGTCCAAGTCCTCTGTCTTCTGGAAGGATTGCAGCCAGCTGACCACCTCCTTGGCGACATTTGGATCTTGCCGGTGCTCCTTCAAAATCGCAAGAGATTCACGCAGTGCCCGAGGAAACTCGTGAGATGTCGGTCGGATCCCAGTAGTTGGGAACTTGATGTTGCAGATATGCGTACGGTAGCTGTTTGGTTTGTGCTGCGACATCACCTCAACTACATGTCCCAGGATCTTGCGCAGGCACGGTAAGTCTTCGAATTCGGAGACCATGTCGTAGAATTCGTGGCCGAAGCGGTCGTCGTTGTTGAAGTTCTTCATCGCTGTATCAAAGACGGCCAGCGGGACCGCGCCGCTCAGAGCAGGCGTCGAGTTCAAATTTTCCAGAGCAACGTGATCAACTCCGTCTTCATCTCCGGCGCTAGGGTTGATATCTTCCCCTGTGATTTTAGGTAAAGCGATCATATCGGCATTAGGGTCATCAAATCCAGATCCTTCAGCCGGGGTAGGCGTTTCAATCTTCTGGTCCAAGCCCAATATCCGCTGTCGAGCGACAAGCTTGGCGATGTAGATCAATTCGAGTTTCGCATAGTGCAGCCACAATTTCCTTGAGCTCTTGCAAAACCTCAGACCTCTTTGCATGTAGGTTCGAGACATTGTCATATCTGCATGATCATCCAGATTGTATTGTGCAGCGTAGATCCATAGGTCCACGCTGGTAGGGTGAAGCCGTAAAGCATCCGTGAATATCGTCGAAAGCTTCTTGTACGCCTTCTGCTGGCGGGCATACTCGATATACTGAATCCATAGGCCGAGATCGCCGTGGAACTTCCGAGTAGCTCGATCGAGAATGAAGAAAATCCGTCTTTGACCCGAATGGCCTCCCGACCGAATACCTAGTCGCTTCACTCTCTTGCGTCGCAGAGCATCAAGATTCATCTCGTATTCCGCGTATCGCACAAAGTCAGATGGCTGAGCGCCGCGAGCGTTCAGTTTGTGCTCGAAATCTGAACGTCTCTTGACAATGGATAAAATCTCATCCTAATGATAACGAGCATTGTGAGTGACCATGTTTTGTGAAATGGCTGGTTGAGGACTCGCACCTTGCTAAATATTTTTTTCTTCTCAAACTCCTTGAGTTCTGGTACCGACTGCTCCAGGTAGAAGCGTGCTTTGTCTGTTGCAGCTGACATGATGGTTGTTATTTGCTGCAGAAGACCGTCAAGACGTTTCGCAAAGTCCTTCAACGCAGGCCAGAAAATGTTGTCGGCATCCCGCTCGATATCTCCGATCTACTTGGGTCTGTGACCGCCTTCCTCTCCGGGACTCGTCCCTGTTGCATGTGTCCGCGCGCTCCTCCGCAGGTTACCGAGTTCCAACCTGGCCATATCACATCTCAGGGGTTTCCTCTGACTGCTGACAGTTTTTCTTTTTCTATTCATTTCTTTTTTTATTTGATCGTTTATATTCTTGACGCTCTTTTATATTCTTTTCCCGTCTGTCGTAGCTTTTTGACTTTTCGAACGCGCGGAGTGTGGGCCCTGCATTTCTTGCGCTACTATGGCTCCCAAGTTCAAAGATGGGGATGCCGTTGTGGCGGTAAGCTGATACAAACCCAAATAAATCCAGGCGATTCACTAAGTCCATGTCAGATCAGTGGTAAATGGGTGTCATGGACACATACAGCGGTCGCCTATACGGCATTCCTGAGCGCTCTTGTAGTGGGAATGTCCCTGCATTTCCACAAGATCGTGCAGAACGAACACTATGGATATCCGGATGAATGGTTCCCATCTGTGTCAGCTACGATTGGGGATCGGTACCCGGAACGCTCATTCTTTCAAGTCTTCATCGCCATTACCTCCGGTCCTCGATTCGCTCTCGTTTTCCTTTGGTACCTTCTTACTGCACGGCCTAACTCGACTCTTCCCAAGATCGTTGCTGGTGTTGGGCTGTTCCGGACTTTCACCTGTGGTGGTTGGACATATGTCACGTCTACCGATGACCATGACTGGCATGATATCTTCATGATCTCTTACCTCGTCGCGACATTGCCTTGGACCCTCGGTTGCCTGGCACTCAGCCCCAACAATCGCCGCGCCGTGAAATACAGAAAGATCATGGCAGGACTGTTCTTTGGCACCCTAGTACCATTGATCTACTACTTCATCCAACACAAGGTGCACAAGGTTGCTGGTGGTGAGTTCACATCTGACTTTTGCGTAGCATACTGTGCTCTAACGACTCTCTCTCAAGCATACACGAAATATGCCTTCTTCGAGTGGTCTCTCATCTTGTTCGACGTGGGATTCGATGCGGTTACGGCATTGGACTTTGATGCATTTGAGATTGTGGTGAGGGACGTGAAAGGGGTTAGCAGAGGGTATGTACCGTGGCTCCCAAAGTGAACCAAGCAAAATGGGAAAATGTAGAGTGGCCGAATATTGGTTGTTTGGATTTGAAAACATGTCCTAAGCTTCGAAACATTAGGCAGTTGAAGACCACTGCGGACTCTGTTCTTGAGAAAGAGTGTGTATTTCCCGCTCACCAAGACACTTTGGTTTCATTGTTGACTCGTAGTTAGGAAGGGCAAGCCTGTTGGAAACACCTTTGGCGAGGGTTTCTTCTGGTCTGAAGTCCTGGACGCCGCCGCAGACGTCTACAACGGGGTAATACCCATCCTCGATTGTCCTTGCCTCATGCGCATTTACTGACTGACCACAGTACGTCTTCTGGTCCATGGCGACTGCTCTCGGACTTCTTGTTTGGTGTAAGTTTAGGTTTTATTCTCTAAGGGCTATGTCTAATAACCATTAGATTTCCCTCTTTGGCACATGGGTATCTCTGGGTATGAGGCCGCTATTATCGCGTACATGTCACCTCTCCTTCTAGCAATCCCTACTCTGAAGACCGCGGTGGCCAAGTACCCACGACTTTTCCACTTTCTGTCACTTTCTGGACTGCTCGCCTACAAGGTGCAGAATCCTACCAACAGACTCTTCGTCACTACTTTCAGTGTTGCCTGCAATGCTCTTACATGGTCCGGTATTTTCCACGCGGAGAAGACCCAGAGCTCCCGCTTGGAGTCTCGGATCCTTGCCTGGGGCATCGGTCTGATCATGTCTAGCGTCGCCAAATTTGCATGCAGCACCAACAATCCTGTCTGGCCCACTATGCATGCGGAGAACGGTGGATGGAACAAAATGGGTCTGCTCCTTGGTATCTTGGCTGTTCTCCGATCTCACAGGAAGCCTGTACCAAGTGGAGGGGACTATTTCCCCTCTACCGGCAAGAAAGGTCCTTCCCTGTTGGCCGCATTCGGTATGGGTGGCCTTCTGTTCGCCATGCACTCTCTTCTGTCTGATTCCAGCACCATGATTTCGTGGGTCTGGGAGGGATATCCGGTGAGAGGACCGATCGCCGTGCCTCACGGTGTGCTTACAATCTTCGCAATGGGGGCCGGTCTCGTATATGGTCTCTTCTGCCCTCGCGTCGCTGGAAGCTGGACTGCTTTCGGTATCGGTTCCCTCGGAGCTGCGCTACTTACATGTTACAGCCACTGGACTGGATTCTATGGCGGCTTGGTCCTTGCGTTTTATGTCATGGCCGTTGCCCCCGTTTTGGTCTCTTCGGCTGCTCGTCATTCTCCCGCCACAACGTTCGGTCTCGGAGGCCTTGTCTACGTCTTCCTGATCCTCTTCCACGTATGGGTTGTTGCTTATGCGTTTGTTCCCGGCGGTCCGCTTGTTAGAGAGCACACAGACTGGCTCGTGGCCTCCACTATGATCTCCATCGGGGCTGGAGTCTTTTCTGCCGCAATTACAAACTCTTCTACCCCGAAGGCCAAAACCATCAACCCGAACGGCAGGAGGCAGCGGTCGTACTACGTATATGTCCTCGCCGTTCTGCAGCTTCTTTCTATTGCCATAGCATATCTGCGATTCCCAACCAACGACTACACACCGTATCATAAGGAGGACAAGGTTGCCACCCTCGGTATCTGGACGGTTCACTTCGGTCTCGACAACGATATGTGGTCTTCTGAGCGACGTATGCGCGATGTCATCAAGGAGCTTGAGATTGACGTGATCGGTCTGCTGGAATCTGACACCCAGCGCATCATCATGGGTAATCGCGACATTAGTCAAGTTTTGGCGGAAGAATTGGGCATGTATGCAGATTTCGGACCTGGTCCCAACAAGCATACATGGGGCGCTGCTCTACTCTCAAAGTTTCCCATCGTCAACTCAACCCACCATCTGCTTCCTTCGCCCGTTGGAGAACTGGCGCCCGCTATTCACGCAACTCTGGATATGTATGGTGAGCTAGTGGACGTCGTTGTCTTTCATTCTGGACAGGAGGAAGACCCCGAAGACCGTCGCCTACAGTCCCAGTATCTGGCAAAACTCATGGGCGAGTCCCCTCGTCCGATGGTTTTGCTGAGCTATCTGGTCACCAAGCCCCTTGAAGGCAACTACAACACGTATGTCAGCGAGCTCAGTGGCATGAAGGACATCGACCCTACAGACTGGGACCGGTGGTGCGAATACATTCTCTACAAGAGACTGAAGCGGACAGGCTACGCCAGAATCAGTCGGGATAGTATTACTGATACTGAGATTCAGGTGAGTATCTATCATGCTCGTCCATTAGGCTCTGTTTGTATATACTAATCTGCTCGGCTAGGTTGGCAAATTCGTCATCGGAGAGCCCGAGCCCGAGAACGAAGTGCGCATTCCCGAGGAGATGATCGCTGAGGGCCGTCGATTCCCCGCGATGTTCCGTGGCCAGGGTGTCCGTGGTCACCGTTACCACGTTTTCGATGAGCCAAGATACTGGCAATAGATCTGACTTGATCAGAAGCTGGCTTGTCTCACGTAGCAGCTGGAAAAAGGGTGTCTATCCCCTTCTATACCGTAAACTACCAGATCAAGGGGCCACTGTCAGGCCTATTCGCTACGATAATGTATTTTTGAGTCCGACTGAACATAGGAGTGTCCTTTCTTCGCCGAGTCGTACATAGTTCTCATACTTAGCAATAATGCAGACTGCATAGCTTTCTTGATGGTCTAACTCATCTGTCTTGGTAAGGAATCAGACGACTGACTGGAGGTAGGTCATGTTGGAGATGCCTCAGGTTCTTATGACAGCAGGTCATGTGTCCCAGCCTATAGTACTTCCCTCCCTCATCCTCTCAGATAGCTTCCCAATCCAGAGAGCACTTGCTCAATTTGCTCTCTCCTGCATAGTGCTGTCGGTAGATCATGCTTGCTTTCCAAGGAAAAATTGAGCTATGGGGCATGTAGTACAAGACGCGTACGTCTCTCCAGCAGACATTGACAAGTGGGACGGACGGTACTGATATGGTGACGTCCTTATTGCTCACGTATCCATTCCCACTCTGTGCCAGCCCTCAGGAACAGAGCATACCTGAAACCCCCTTCGGAACGGGCAGTGGCAAGAGACTACGTACTCGGGTGTCACGAATCGCTGTTCCCTGTTCTGAGTCTGCATTCAGCTCGACGGTACTGACGCTCATGTCACTGATTAATGGCTAGGTATGAAGCGTACGCGTCTTCAGGCCTCGTCACAACGAGAAATCGACATTCCAAGGCCTCCAACGTTGCTGTTATTGCTTCAGTGCTGGCAGTGGTGTCCTAGCCTTGGCCTCTGCGGTCCAACCCTTCCTTGATTATTGAATTCCAGAAGAGGTCGTCTGAATTGGATCATTGGCCCTCATCGACAATGAAGATAGTTCCCGGAGCCAGATAATCCTTTTCATATGGATGAAATCTTGTCCGTAACATACTGTCAAGATTGCTCCAGGTGTAATGGAAAGTGTTCTCTTCCGATGAAGGGTATTCATCAAGCTTGCTCCATGTGCTGAGATAGATGGATTTCCTCCCCTTAACCTTATAGTACTGCTGCAGTAGTTGAGCCAGTGTTGCTTTTCCACTCGCAGGGGTCCCCCGTACATGCACAACTTTCTGCTCATCAATGAGGTCGCCAAGTTTTGAGACTGTCTCTACTCAAGGAATATACTGATCAGGAATGGAAGCTGTCCATCATAATTATTGTCAGTTATGCCGTGAGATGATTGAGGACAGAGTCTAACATATTTCCAGCTGGCTGCTTCCTTGTTGGCCTCTGCCAAACTTGCGTCTTTATGTTGGCCGAGTGGGTAGCAACAAACAGTCACAGGGAGCATCCAGCTTTAGCCTGGACGTCCATCCACGGACAATCCGACGAACTTTTTACAAGGACAGGAGATGGTGATATTCCCGATCTTCGCGGGAGAGTTGTAGGGCCCAGACCTAATTCGCAGAACTGGAAACTTCGGAGGTCCTTGTTGAAACCGGCGTGATTGTGGTGGTAGAATAACTAGGACTCATAGTGTGTAGGATCAGTCAGGAAATGAAAAATGGATAGGCAGTGGACGATACTGGGAGAACTGGGAAAGAGTATACTCTGTGAATGATACCTGATCTATCAGCTGAATAGGTTATCTGCTGTCATCATCTTATAATATCATACCTGGACATGGCCTATAAGTTCCCTTACTATTCTAGGTATGTGTCCCCAGATTACGAGGACCTTTTATAAGAGAACCAAGAAGAGAAGTTATTATTTCTTTTCTTTTAATCTATTTAAGGTGTAGCTTATGTGACCGTATGTCCCTTGAGCGGTAGTAGCATGATCCTTAAGTAGGGTTATGGAGAAGGTATTTCTACCATCCCTATCTATAAAAGAGTAAAAGGAAACAAGCCTCTCAAAAGATTCAGAAGCTGTGAGATGAAGAGAGTCAACTCCTTAATATGCTAGCTAAGAACAGAGGGCGCGAAGTCACGACACGAGCAGAGGAATCTCTTCACTGATGATTCCACGGGCCCGCGGCTCCTGCTTCCTGGTCATTGAATTCCGATATGCAAAGAAACTGTACTGTCTACATTGACACTCTGTTATCATCTCGCCCCCACCTGCGTCTGTTCCCGCCAGGCTGATTGTTTTGACCGGAATCTTCCGAGGAATGCGCCTACGCTTTCTTTGTTGCTCCTTTGTCCTCTTTCAGCGGCGCCGGTGTCCATTCCAAGGCCCAGGGCACGAGTTCAAGCTCATGGAAGGGGAAAAGAATAACCTGGCGGATTTCTCCATTCTTTGGCTTTCCTTTCCCCTCCACCGTGCGGGAAGAGAGTATGGCCACTGACGTGATGGAAGTTTTAGGATAAGGGTTTTTTTCTTTTCGCCCTACGAGGTAGGGCAGGGTGACTGATCGTTGATTCTTCCTTGATCTTTCGCCAGAAATGTCCATGTCTTCTGCTTCATCTGATGTCAATGTATGAATCTCAGTAGCGAGCTCTTGGATATCATTATCTCGTGGTCTTTGAGGTTGTGGCTCGGCTATGATGTTTCCTTTCTCTGTATAGTTCACTGAGCGCTTGGAACTTGCAATCTTTAGTCAGTTGGTCCGTTTCATTCTTTCTCACAGGACCCTGGCTTTGCAAGTGGTTATGCTAATACTTTTGGACTTTCAGTGGGAGCGGGACACTTTCTTTGTCTCGTTCGATAAAGCGGATATTTGGTGCTGGATCTAGGTTATATACAGAACAAAGGACTTTGCCAAACGTACCAAAATAGGTACGTTCGGCGTTGAAGGGTCTACGAACCTTTTTTTACTCTCTCTAATTTAAAGTGGATACTGATTCTCAGGCTCGTAGTTGTCTATTTCATAAGAGAAAGTACCTGCCACGGTTGCCTGGTTCTTCAGTATTGTCGAAATTGAGTCTAATACCCAAGAATACTTCACTATAGGTATGTGCAATCCGTGGATATCTTTCTATTGAGCCGAGACTAACATCCTCAGATCTTAGATCTAGTTGTCTTTGATCGCAGAGGATACCATTCAGACGCCAAGATGCTGGCATCACCGACACGGCAACAGGGCCGTGAACGAAAAGCCTCTGACTCCGACAAGCCCGAAGCTGAACATGTGGAAGAAGCTGACATGTCTGGAGAAGAGTCCGAACGAGCTCCTGCGGAACCGGGATCAGAAGAGCCTTGGGAATTATACCGCCGCGGGCTGAAGCCTTCTGCAAGATTGCTTGAGGATGCTCGCGGTTCGCTTCGAGGGACTATGCTGGATCAGGCGAAGAAAGATAAGGCAATAAAAGAAAACAAGGTGCTTCTGGCGGCCATGATGCGTCGGATCTTCCCAACGCCGCCTGCTCCAGCCCATACTAAACCTGCGCCGGCAGCGCAGGTGCAGCAGACGCAGCAGGTACAGCAGACGCAGCAGGTACAGCAGGTGCCGCAGGAGCAGCAGGCGCAGCAGTATCCAATAAACCAAATTGCTGTAGGGCCTCGTGTTTCTTTCGGTGAACATGGTGCGTACCCCCGGTGGGTGCTCGTACCTGCTCCACAGCAGGGAAACCAGCAGCTGCCTTCGCACAAGGTGATGTGGGAATTCGAGCCCGGCCCACCCTCTGGTTGGGGTGGTCTGACGAAGGAGCAGCTGTACGAGTGGTCGTATAACTGGCAAAGAGCCTGTATTGAAGATCCCGAGGGAAGGGAGGCAATGATCTCGCACTTGCGATACGGGCCTCTTAAAGAGCTTGTGAAAGGCGTCGCTCAACCTCTGCCGCCTCTTCCAAATCCCCCAACCACCAACTTCTACCTGAAGCCAGTTACTCCTCTTGCTCCGGCTCTCTATGAGACTTGGCGTTGGTCCTACAAGAGGGACTACACACGTCCGACTGCCCCAATCCGGCAAGGCATGTACAGCAGAGGGTTGAACCCCGGGCAGCAAGGAGTAGGCGATGAAGAAAATCAACTTCCTGGCATCGGTACTTACCGCAACCAGTACGGCGCAAATCGCCTACGGGCTGAGGCAGGCCCTGCAAAACTGCTAGCCCTTGACGACGGGCAAGAGCCTGCAATTGGTGAGTACAAGTGGATTTGGTTCATTGTCATCATTCTGGTCATAAGCATGTTCCTGTGTCTCTTCCTCTATGTCTTCAAGATCATCAAGTGATGTAATTAGCAATCTGTCAACGCGGACTTAAGGTTTGTTTCTCCAATCATAAGCTGCTATGCATCTGGTGTTTCCATTGGACGCATATGATCGGAGAAACGGCCAATCTCGCTTGCATTCCTCAACCCCCCTTGCATATGGCATTCCACTGGTTCCCAAAATCTTGCATGATCGCGGCCGATGAGCTAATGATTCTGCTTTGTGAACAGATGCAGATCCGAATCGTCAGACAGTCGAGTCGAGCCTCGACCTGGATGCCATGGATGGTGCACCTAATGGTTTGCCCATGTCATCCTGGCCAAAACCTGCTGTACAAGGTCCAGGTAAGAGAGGTAAGCGATGACCCATTCGTCCAAGCAAAAGCCTCGGAGGCGTATGATATCTATTTATAGACTGGGATGATTTACTAACGTCATGTAGGTACAATGGCCGTAAAGAACGGCATCAGGGAATTTGCGAAGATCAAAAGAGGGCCCCCACCTGGTCAGGCCGGCGCCCGTCGCATCGAATACACAAACTCGAAACAAGCGCCAGTGGCACCACCGGACACAGGGTCGGAGCCGGAGACAGAGCCAGAGACAGAGCCAGAGATTCTGAGATCAAAAGAAGACGAGCTCTTGACTGAAGCCCTAGAGGAGCTGAAGAAGAATTCTGAGAAACACTTTCCTCGGCGAACTCTCCGGCGCATAAGGACATGGCCGGGCGACGATATCCCCAATTACATCAGCAGCGATGAATTGAAGCTCGTACCCGATTATTCTCTCGAGCACAGGCCATTCCACGATCGAAATTCAGTGGAACAAGGTCGGACAGCTAAGAGAGCTGCAAGTGGCTTGCCAAAGCAGGCTTCTGGGGCCGATGCTGATTCTGACGATAATGATGGCTCCGCCAGTGCTGGCACTGCTGGGAAGGCGAAAAAAGCCCGGACAAAGAAATCGACAACTGCTGGAACAGCAAAGTCTGCAGGGACCGCGAAGACTGCTGGCACAGCCACTCCCACGCAGCAAAGCAGATATCCGAAACGTCCTGGTCGAAAATAAGTATGGTCTTAGACCGTGTTCGTCGACAGCCTTGCTATGCGGCCCTGCAAGCTGTGGATGACGGACGACCGGAAACGAGGTTGATAGCCGCACAGCAAAAGAACATGCTGTCTGCACGAATCCTGCGGTATTTGCTGGGATTGGGCAACTCGATCACTTGGATCAGGGTAGGGTTTTAAATGAGGCTGCGGGATGGATTAAGCCATCTGTGCTGTCTGTCGTGGTGAGTGCTTTGTGATTTGACATGTTTTGTTTGAAATTTGCCTCTGTTATTTAGTTTCATGACCAAGGATCATTTCGTCCTTCATCCATCTATCCAAGTCTCTTCTGGGATGCGCATTCCCAGTGTCGCCATGAAAGTAAAAGGTGGAGAGCACTTTGAAGATTCGTAGAGCAAATGTAACTATTCTCTGCTTGAGTATATCAATACGTGTAGATACAAGTCATCGAATGTAGAACTAGAAAGTCATATCGTGAGCTGCTGAAGAAGCATGATGCTAATTGAGAGCGATATACCTCTCAAGGAGGTAGAATAGAATGTAAATGGAGTCGTGATGTGGTTGGTACACTGGGACCGTGTCGTGCCTGAGGCATCTTTCCCAGAAGGGTCGCAATGCAAACGAGGCAAACATGCGTTCGTGAAATGACCATCGGGGAACGTATCGCATATTATTGTCTTCATTACCGCACCTAACAGCTCTCATCGCTGTGCTAACCGTTGCTTTGTCCGGCTATGATAAAATGATATGACTTGATATTCTATACGCGCATTACTCTCTATGGGCGGATCATTGAATTGAGAGTGCTCCCGTCGTCGGATCTCAAAACCAGCTCTACTGCACCGGAGACTTCCTGGCTGGGCTCAGGAGGACCGCCAATATGTTTACTTTCACTCCCCTGCTGGGTGCGCAGTCCTCCTCCAGAGCCTCGCAGTCTATCTTGGAACTCGATGGCGGCATCAAAATTCTCGTGGACGTCGGTTGGGACGATACCTTTGATACGCTGGACCTTCTAGAATTGGAGAAGTAAGCAGCTTGCTAAGCTGAGCTCGTCGTCGCATACTCACAACTTCGATTAGGCATATTCCTACCCTTTCACTTATACTTCTAACTCACGCGACCCCGGCGCACATCGGTGCTTTCGTTCACTGCTGCAAAACGTTTCCTCTTTTTACCCAGATACCTGTCTACGCTACGAGTCCCATCATCGCTCTCGGTCGCACACTTCTTCAAGATCTGTATGCCTCCTCGCCCCTTGCAGCGACTTTTCTACCAAAAGCTTCCATCTCGGAACCGGGCGCGTCAACCTCAGCCGCATCTGCGGCGGCGTCAGTCACAGATGGGGAAGGGAACACGGCAGCTAGCAGCGCTGGCCGAATTCTCCTTCAGCCTCCCACCGCCGAGGAGATTGCCAGATACTTTTCTCTCATTCACCCGTTGAAATATTCCCAACCGCACCAGCCGCTCTCGTCTCCTTTCTCCCCGCCGCTGAACGGGCTGACTCTCACTGCGTACAATGCTGGACATACAGTGGGTGGAACTATATGGCATATTCAGCATGGTATGGAATCGATTGTCTACGCGGTGGACTGGAATCAGGCCCGAGAAAGCGTTGTGGCCGGCGCTGCATGGTTCGGAGGTTCAGGTGCCAGCGGAGCAGAGGTCATTGAACAACTGCGCAAGCCGACGGCGTTGGTCTGCAGCACCCGAGGAGGAGACAAGTTTGCTCTTCCTGGTGGGCGAAAGAAGCGTGACGACTTGCTTCTGGATATGATCCGGAGCAGTCTCGCGAAGGGCGGTACTGTCCTGATCCCAACTGACACTAGTGCTCGAGTCTTGGAGCTTGCCTATGCACTGGAGCATGCGTGGCGTGATGTGGCTGGCGGTAATAGTGAAAGTGACGGTGCCTTGAAGAACGCTGGGTTATACCTCGCTGGAAGAAAAGCGCACACTACAATGCGGCTGGCGAGGAGTATGCTTGAATGGATGGATGAGAACATTGTGCGTGAATTCGAAGCAGCAGAAGGTGTGGATGCTGTGACGGGCCAAACACAGTCGAATGCTGATGGTCAGCGGTCCGGTGGCCAAGGCCAGGGCAAAGGGGCATCTAAGGGACTAGGTCCTTTCACCTTTAAACATCTCAGGACGGTTGAACGCAGGAAAAGGTTGGAAAAGATATTGACGGATCAGAAACCAAAGGTGATTATTGCGTCCGATACATCTTTGGATTGGGGATTTGCAAAGGAATCCCTACGCTTGATCGCCGAAGGACCGAACAACCTACTCCTATTGACCGAAAACCTTCACAAAGAACGGACATCAGATAGTAAGAATGAGCATCACAGGGAGACCCTTGGAAGCATGATCTGGCAATGGTATGAAGAGAGAAAGGATGGTGTTGCCTTGGAGAAAGCCTCAGATGGCGATCTCCTTGAACAGGTCCATAGCGGCGGAAGGGAGCTCTCCTGGACAGATGTACGACGAACACCCCTTGACCCCGGGGAGCAGTTGATCTATCAGCAATATCTCGCCACCAAGAGACAACTGCAGGATGCGTCGCAGACAAGAGGTCAAGAAAATCTTGAGAACCCGACGGATGCACTTGACGACCGATCGAGCTCAACGTCGGAAGATTCAGAGACGGAGCAGCAGGGACGGGTCTTGAACTTCTCTACCTCGTTGGCTCATGCCAACCGCAACAAGCTGGGTCTTAGCGACGAAGACCTGGGTGTAAACATTCTTCTACGTCGGAAGAACGTCTACGACTACGATGTCCGTGGGAAGAAGGGTCGCGAACGAATGTTCCCATATGTAGCTCCAAGAAAGCGCGGAGACGAGTATGGAGAATTCATCCGGCCCGAGGAGTATTTACGAGCCGAAGAGCGGGAAGAGGCAGACATGCAGCAGCGTCGGTCCGAAGCCCAGACCAAATTGGGCCAAAAACGACGGTGGGACGAGGCAGGCCCTCATGGACGTCGAGCCTCCCATAGCGGAGCCAAGCGGCAACACGTCGCCGGGGACGCTCATAAGAGGGAGGCTGGTGGCGCGGACGATCTCAGCATGACCGAGGATGCGGACGGCGCTGATGCGGCGATATCATCAGAGGATGAAGCCGACGAGCAATCGTTTGAAGGACCCGCGAAAGCCGTGTTCGAGAAGGCCTCGATCACCATCAACGCACGCCTTGCCTTTGTGGACTTTACTGGGCTACACGATAAGCGCAGTTTAGAGATGCTGATTCCGCTCATCCAGCCGCGGAAACTAATCTTAGTTGGAGGAATGAAGGAGGAAACCACGGCGTTGGCGACAGAGTGCAGGAAGCTTCTCGCCGCCAAGGCTGGCGTCGAAGTTTCGTCTCCAGACTCTGCCCTCATTTTCACGCCAACGAACGGGGAAATGGTCGATGCCAGTGTTGATACCAACGCTTGGATGGTCAAGCTGAGCACCAATCTCGTCCGGCGCCTGAAATGGCAGCACGTTCGCAGTTTGGGTGTAGTAACACTAACAGCCCAACTGAGAGGGCCAGAGCTCAACCCTCCAGAGGAGGGATCTGAGGAGTCGGCAAGCAAGAAACAAAAGGTGTTGCAGGACGAGGCTAGTTCTGCAGCAACATCCCCCTTCGGCGGAACGAAACCAGCGGCGGACAAGTCCGATGTTTTCCCTGTGCTCGATGTTCTACCAGCGAACATGGCGGCTGGTACCCGGTCCATGACTCGGCCTCTGCATGTGGGTGATTTCCGACTGGCGGATCTGCGCAAAGTCATGCAGAGCGCCGGACACAAGGCTGAGTTCCGTGGTGAGGGAACGCTCCTCATCGATGGAATGGTGGCTGTTCGCAAATCGAGTACTGGCAGGATTGAGATCGAGGCATCTGCGCAGTCGTCGGCCATGAACCGGGCCATGGGACGCGGCGCGGGAAGCTTCCTGGCAGTGAAGAGGAAGATCTACGAGGGTCTTGCAGTTGTTGCGGGAAGTTGACCATAGAGGTACTAGGATATTTAAACATGTGTCATGATGTATTTGTACGTAGCTTGTACCAGGCTCGGCACTGAAATGGTGGTATCGACGTAGGATAACTGCAGCTACCTATAATCTTAAACCATCTAATGGAACTTCTAAAACATAATAACCTTGCTCCGATCCGACTCGGGCAAAATCCAATCCAACCCATTGCGGGCCAAGCATGTAGATAGATCGACTCACGAGCTCGCTAAAACTAACGAACTGCTCCGTAATCCTCGTCCAAATCCTCTGTCGGAACCTCTTGTATATACTCGTTCGTCCGCGGACCAGTATATTTCCTGAAATAATAGAGATGTTAACGCGGAACTGCTACCATGAGACGTCGATAGGGAAACATACCCACGAGCATACAGCACCCACCAAAAGAGCGCAAACGCGGCGATAAAAGCGCCCACACAGATCGCATAATTCCTATTGACCAGTCAGTCAGCCCATTCTCCGCATGATTACTCGCGCTGCCAGGGACGAGGCTTACATATTCGACGCCGTGACCGGCACAGTAGGCGGGAAGAAGAGCACCGTGCTTATGAAGAGGACCCAGACGATCGAAACCCAGTTAATGGATGCGCCCCACTTACCGAGCGTGAACGGCCCCTCGACAAACTTGACCTTGTCCTTGTAGAGTCTATGAGCAAGGATGACGGAGACATAGGAGATATCCAGCGCAGGTGCGGTGATGCTGAAGATCGCGGTGGCTGTTTGGGTTGATCCGATGGCGATGCAGTTGAGGCTGATGCTGAAGAGGACGACGAACCAGACGGCGTTGACGGGGGTGAGGGTGTATTTATTGATTTTGGACAGGAAGCTGACGATTGTTTTTGTTAGTGCTATGTCCTGTACGAAGGGGGAAAGAGTCCGGGGGCATTACGAGGAGAACGGTAGCGCCTCGTCACGGGCGAAGGCGTATGCCATCCGTGTATCTGCTAGCATGGCCGAGCAGCCGGTGAAGAACTGGACTAGGATGGCAAATCCCCACATGATGGTGCCACCGGTCTTTCCGCCGGCGTTTAGGAAGATTTGGGCCGCTGGAAGGCCTGTGGGCGTTCGAAGGATGCTGTCGAGATCGGTCAAGCAAAAGCACAGTGAGATAGTCAGTACCCAGCCCATTATGCCTGATACCAGGACTGCAGATTGGATTGCTAGCGGCCCGAGCGAGGCTGCGTCGTGAGTTTCCTCTGACATGCTAAGGTCTTGTGAGCATGGATGAGCATAGAAGGCCAGACTGAGAACGTACTGGGTTGTTCCGTCGTAATCGGTCATTGTCCACGCTACTGATATGAAACCAAGCAGAAAGGAAAAGAGCTTCGAGCCCCATCCAGAGCCATCCGTAAAGTGAGTAAACACCCAACGAGCGGACTGCTTGTCCGGCGTGAGGTATAAGAGCATCAAGCAGATACAGATCGTTGCGGAGACTGCCCAGTTAGACTCCATAGTGACCACTAGCCACAAAGAGGAGTCACATACTATTGATCGGGGCGAACCAGAAGACGATCCGATGCAGAGTCTTGGTAGTCAGAGAGCATATTACACCCAGCACGCACAGAACCACAATAGATAGAGCAACGGTTTGCATCGCAGTCCTAGCTCGGCATTAGCTCTAAGCCGCCTTGGACTGGGAGCAGTGATTAGTTACGGTGAGTAAGAGTACTCAGAATTCATACTGGCGCACGCAAGCAGCATCTGGCTGACCGTGTAAGCCACACTGGAAACGCCCGCAGTCTGACCCAAGAGATTGCACCAGCCCTGCACCCAGGAAAATATGGGCACCTGGTCATCAGGAACAACATGCTTCGTGACGAAGTACATTCCTCCTGCGGTAGGATACGCAGAGACCAGCTCCGCTACCGAGCTGCCTATGCACATGGCCATGCATGAGCCCAGAAACCAACACCAGACCGCAGTAGCTGGTCCTCCTGCAGCCAGAGGAGCTCCAAAGGTCGCGGGAACTGAGCCCAAAATTCCCAAGATGGAGATGGCATAGCTAACTGTGGACCATTTTGAGAATTCCCGTTTCAGTTCCTAGAAACATTGGTACTCAGCACCGATAGACGACATTCCCCGAGACGGTAAGTACCTGCTTATACCCAATACGGGCCAGGAGAAGTTCGTCATCATCATGGATTGAGGCCATCGCTATTGAAATAAATGACCATAAAGAGAAAAGACGACATCATCAATCGGACTTTAGTGGTATTGGCTGGAATACTTCCGAATGTATACAAACCGCCTATTTCGGGAACTGTTTCGGAGCGACGTAAATCCGGTTAATTGTTAGGTGGTCAGTTGTTGATGATGTCGAACAAGATCCTCGGCGATCTCAACTTCATAGAAGACGCTTTCTGCGCGTCTGAAATTACTGCTCGTGCTCGACGGATTGATGCATTGATCAGTCATCGTCCCTTCTCTCCTCCCAGTCCCACAGTATACGCGTTATGAAGCAGCATGGCAGACCCATCAATGTATTACTCTGTCGGCCAGGGACCTGCTCCTCCTGAAGACCCCTCCGATCCCAATCGGATGGCCCACCAAGTTCCCCCTCCGTCTCATCCTCCTGCCGGCTATGGTCCTGGAGCGGTTCCTCCTCAACCAGGAGCTCCCTACGGGACAGCAGCTCCGAATCAATGGCCCCCTTACGGCTCGCCATCTCATTTACAGCAACAACCGCAGCAACAACCGCATCTGGCCTCCCCTCCTCCGTTCGGCTACAATGCAGGCCCGCAGGCTGGGATGGCCGCTCCCACAGAACCGAGTTTGGGAGGGTTGACACATCAAATGGGTGGACTGGGGATTTCAGGGGAAGGAGGGTCTCGGGCACACAAGAAGAAGCATCGACATGCACACCATGATATTGGCGGAGCTTCTGCCACTGCCCCGGCGCAACAGCCGTTTGCTGGAATGCCTCAGGGAAGTGTACAGCCAACATCGCAGTTCTTGAATACCGGACTTACCGACTCTCCGCGTCCTATCTCGCCAGGTGTTGGTGTAGCTCAGCCCGCCGGCGTAGGGGTTGGAGCCGGAGCGAGTTCTGGCGCTGGCTCAGTCGCAACTCAGGGCAAGATTGACCCGGAACAGATCCCCAGCATCCCTCGCTCGCGCGACCTGCCCGCGCAGTACTATTTCAACCATGTCTATCCGACTATGGAACGGCATCTTCCTCCCCCGGCTGCCATTCCCTTCGTGGCCCACGACCAAGGCAATTCGTCCCCGAAGTATGCTCGACTTACGCTAAATAATATTCCATCTACAGCCGACTTTCTGTCGTCTACGGGGTTGCCTCTCGGGATGATCCTGCAGCCGCTGGCCCGACTGGATCCGGGTGAGCAGCCGATTCCCATTTTGGATTTTGGAGACGCTGGGCCTCCACGATGCCGAAGATGCAGGACATACATCAACCCGTTCATGACATTCAGGTCCGGAGGGAACAAGTTCGTCTGCAATATGTGCACGTTTCCCAACGACGTCCCTCCGGAGTACTTTGCCCCTCTCGATCCGTCAGGAGCGCGTGTGGACCGCATGCAACGTCCGGAACTGATGATGGGCACAGTCGAGTTCTTGGTGCCCAAGGATTACTGGAACAAGGAGCCTGTTGGTCTACGTCAGTTGTTTCTGATCGATGTCAGCCACGAATCAATCAGCCGAGGATTCCTTAAGGGTATCTGCAAGGGTATCATGGAGGCTCTATACGGCACAGAAGGGTCTGAAAATCCCGAGGACGAAGCATCGTCGCGCCGTATTCCCGAAGGCTCAAAGATTGGTATCGTCACGTTCGATAGAGAAGTACAATTCTACAATCTGAGTGTATGTTCCTATGGTCACTGTTGATTGCTGCGGATGCTGACCAACGTAGGCACAACTTGACGGAGCTCAGATGATGGTGATGACTGACCTTGAGGAACCGTTCGTGCCGTTGAGCGAGGGGCTCTTCGTGGATCCTTATGAATCAAAGTGCGACCCCTGAATCAGCAGGACTCGTTCAAGGTGACTGACCGACTTTTTCCTAGGGAAGTAATTACTGGTCTGCTGCATCAGATTCCGAAGATTTTCGCCCACAGTAAGAAGCCTGAGCCTGCACTGCTTCCAACATTGAATGCGGCTCTCTCCGCTCTACAAGCCACAGGAGGGAAAATCATCTGTGCAGTGGCCACCTTGCCCACCTGGGGCCCTGGTGCTTTGGTGCGGCGTGAAGATCCCAAGGTCCATGGAACGGATGCGGAACGGAAGTTGTTTACCACAGAGAATGCAGCATGGAGATCGACAGCCAGTAAACTGGCCGGAGCTGGTATTGGTGTGGACATGTTCATCGCGGCACCTAACGGAACATATATGGACGTTGCCACGATTGGTAAGACTCTTTGGCCTCGAAATGAGGTATTTTGCTGACAACCTTTATCAGGACATGTCCCCGAGGTCACCGGCGGCGAGACATTCTTTTACCCCAACTTCCATGCTCCGCGCGACATCCTCAAACTCTCCCAGGAGCTGACGCATTCGGTCACCCGTGACACCGGCTTCCAGGCACTGATGAAGGTCCGTTGCTCGAATGGACTTCAGGTGTCGGCCTATCACGGAAACTTTGTGCAGCATACGTTTGGAGCCGACCTCGAGATTGGAGCTATCGATGCAGACAAGGCAATTGGTGTTCTCTTTAGCCACGATGGCAAACTGGATCCCAAGCTGGATGCTCACTTTCAGGCTGCGCTGTTGTACACTTCCGCCAACGGGCAGCGTCGGGTGCGGTGCATCAACGCGGTGGCGGCCGTCAACGAAGGAGGCTTGGAGACGATGAAGTTTGTTGACCAGGACGCGGTTGTCAGCATTATGGCCAAGGAAGGTGGGTATCCCAAATACAGGCCAAAGGTTCCGAGACCAGCGCATACTAATGTCCTGCAGCGGCGGCCAAAACGCTCGACAAACCACTCAAAGACATCCGGGCCAGCATCACGGAGAAGACGGTGGATATTTTCAGCGGATACCGCAAGATCTTTTCAGGGTCGCACCCTCCGGGCCAGCTCGTGTTACCGGAAAATCTCAAGGAGTTTTCCATGTACATGCTCAGCATGATCAAATCGAGGGCGTTCAAGGGTGAGCTAGACTACGATTGCATCTATGGTTTCGCTGCTAACAGGCTCAACAGGTGGCCAGGAATCGTCCGACCGGCGAATTCATGATATTCGGATGCTACGATCAATAGGATGCACAGAGCTGTCACTGTACCTGTATCCCCGGATCATCCCCATCCACAACCTGCAACCGGAGGATGGGTTCCCGAATGAACAGGGCCAATTACAGGTACCACCCGCACTCCGCGCCAGCTACTCCAAGATCGAGGAAGGCGGAGCGTACCTGGTAGACAACGGCCAGATGATTTTACTATGGCTTCATTCACAAGTTTCCCCCAACCTGCTTGAGGATCTGTTTGGACCCGGGCAAACGTCTCTGCAAGAGCTCAACCCGCAGCTGTCGTCTTTACCGGTGCTGGAGACACACCTAAATGCGCAAGTGCGCAATCTGCTACAGTACTTGTCGACTATCCGAGGATCGAAGGCGGTGGCTATCCAGCTGGCACGGCAGGGATTGGACGGGGCCGAGTACGAATTTGCGCGACTGTTGCTGGAGGATCGCAACAACGAGGCGCAGAGCTATGTGGACTGGCTGGTGCACATCCACCGACAAATCAACTTGGAACTGGCGGGGCACCGGAAGCGCGAGGATACAGCGGGGGAGGGAACGTTGTCCAGCCTGGCCGGACTGCGGGCCCCATATTGGTGATTGGCACTACGTAGTGTGACTGTGTGACTCTATCGTAAGCGACGTTGGCTGGGAGGGGCCAGTATTCAATATCCATCCGAGGCAAGGATCTCCCTTTGTCTGATTCATTTTCATTTCTGTTCATGCGAGTATACCAAATTTTGTTCCTACTTGTATAGCCCAAGGCCAATGTACCACTTTCACCGTACCACTGGACCTGTGACCTTTGCTTAGATGCGTCTCTATTGAGTAGACAAGAGACAATAGAGTTATGAGCCTTGGCCCTGCGCCTGGACCCAAAGCAACCAAGCCTGGAATGATGGAGTGGGATTCTAGAACGGGGGGGATCTGCGCCCGGTGAGAGAGGGGTCGGAGGGGATCGGAGGGGCAGTGAACAAGGGACCCTTTTCGAGTTCTTCCATTCTTCCATTTTCAGGAACTGGAGCCCTGGATCCTTTCTTGAGTCTCTAAGAAAGAGATAATTGGCGGTTGCGACTCCAACTGGGGCAGTGGAGTTGGCATCGCACGTCAGTGGCTGGAAGATGGAGGAGTGTCTACGTCGGCATATGTCAATCTGGACCAAAAGCTCTGGCTATTGTAAGCATAAGAGTTTTCTGAATGAATACTCTGTATTTTGGTTCCGAAATGTCAGCAGAATGGAAGAAAGAACGTGAAAGAAGGGTGATGAATTTGTTCTTTCGCGCCAAGACCAAGGGTATTCGGAGTAGACTCCAAAAACAGCGCAAGGATGCTGACAAAGGACTGAAAGAGTTTTTAACTGCGTATGAGAACTTTTTCTCTTTTGTCTGCCTGAGGTGCCAAGGTTGAAACCTGAGGAATTTGCCTTCCTCGGAACCAAACAGTCGACAGTGAGTTATATGCACGCACTTTGTCTGGTTGCTAGACATGTTGCCACGCTTTCACTCATACAAATGATATGCCTACAAAAATTTCACAAACGCCACGCAGCCACAGAACGTTGCCAAAGGATCAAATAGACTTTGTCAAACCATGGGAATACCCTCAAAGACCAGAGATTTTTTGCGTTCCAGAAGAAGGGCACTACAGTTGCCGAACCATAGATCACGACATTCGGTTCTTTTCTTCCTTTTCTCCTTTCTGGGGCTAGACAAAGTTTTGAGGCTTGGGAATGGGGTCAGCCCGGAGCCGGAGCTGGATATGGGAATCCATGTACTACTGCCTTTATGCGGGGTTGCCTCGGTGGTGTAGACAGCACAACAAGCAGAGCTACATTATTATATTATTTATGTGATGAAAAATTAACTGCATAATCAAAGTCGACTGAGACATTCCAGCTCATTGTACAGTGTCATATGTGTCATACATTGGATGGGGTCAAAATGAAGTGATTGTTGCGGCATT